GAAGCATAGCATCTTGTTGCGCAGAAGCAACAGGTGCGTTCACAGGGGCAAGAGAGCCGGACGAGTTCACACCAGTTCCGAGGATCTACACATATGATGAAATTCGGATCCGCCTACAAGGAGTCGGACTTACCACCCCGTACACGCGATCGTTGTCACGAAGCGCTGCATCGAGCGGCTTCAGAACCATGGATACAACGCCTTCTCCCCGTCCAAACCTGTGAATCGAAAGGTCACGATGTCACGATAGAAACCATCAGCCTCGACTCGCACGTCTGAGGATGTCCACACGCACCCATCAGCAGAAGTGTCGAACGGCTTACATTTACCATCACGAGACAGAACTCCACCCTGGGTATATGTAAGCCAATCAGCTAGCCTAGCAACGATGAAAACCGTCAGATGAACCGGTATCAGGACAACATGCCCGAGGAAGCATACCTTTGATTCACCTGGCACCCGCCAACTACAGCAGCTTCGCACTCCCCGTTCCGCAATGCCTGTACGGCAAGGTGCGTCGCATACAAGCTCGAGCTGCACGCAGTGTCGACGGGTACTGATGGTCCTCGTAGGTCCAGGTGATATGACACGCGATTCGCCACCATCGATGGACCGGTTGCAAAAGACCCTCGGGCTTCCGCAACGTCCTGATAGAATGCCAGGGTACGATCAGCCGCACAGCTTCTCCCAGAGATCAGGCACGTACGTGGCCTGACACCGAAAAGATATCCTGTGATACTCCGGACATGTAACAGCCCACGTTCCTTCCTCTATAGTCGATTCCGGAATCAAGAAGGCTGAGATATGTAGTCTCGATCAACTTGCGCGTTCCTAGCGCCATCAGTCGTGCATCTTTGCTGGTGATTCCGAACTCGAGGTAGTCGAATAGGGCCACATCCTTAAGGAATGAGCCTGTGTCGGTGAGAACTTGGCCAAGACCATTACCGCAAATACTACAACCCCTAGTTGGTAATGTCGAAAACCGATAATGGAGGGCAAACGCACTGATCGATGTTGAAGCGTTCAGAAGGTATTCTCTCGTATGATTCTCCCCGCGCAAGAAGAAAGTTGTTAAAGGCCTTGCGGTCAAGATTGGAAGGACTCCACGTTCCACTTGGAAGTTCTACAGCGATGCCGACCTTCCCAATAGAAGTCAGTGACCAGGGGCGAAGATAAAACCAATCAGGAACGCACGATGGCAATGGGAGGAGAGGGGTGAGAGGTCATTGCCACTTGGAAGAGAGACGACCAGGGACACACTTCTCTTGAATGACTGTTCGAGGCTTCAGAATTTGTCCCCAGCGGAAGTTTAAACACTATATAAGAAGAAGCTCGTCACAAGTAGCTCCGATGAATCTGGACTTTACGTTCTGGGCCGCAAAGCGCCGTCTCAAGAGCTGAGTGTCGGATAAATAGCGCGTGTCGGCGGCTCCTTCTCCTGTTCACCATTCTGGCCAAGGAAGCTTTTAGACTACCAGGCCGGTGTGGAAAAGAATCAGAATCAGATAATGCGGCGTGGCCTCGGTCACGATCTCACGAATCTGAGAACAGGCGAAATCCGAGTTCAAAGACGGCGATTTGATATGACTTGAACAAACTTGTTTGTGAAATGATTTGATAGTTCCAATATATCGTTATCTTTCTTGCAGGGTTAGTCCGAATGTCCTTTGCATGGACTTAAGGAGGGATATCATATGGTCAGAAATCATCACATGCATTGCCCCACGGCGTCTGATGGGAGACTGAATGCGTTGTTAATAAGTCACCAAGTGAGTGGAAGGGAGAAAAGGTGTCCGCACGCGCACCCAACGGAAAAAGAAGCGCAGGAACTTCACCAGCTCCCGATGTCGAACTGCTGGCATCAGCTATTCTCGGAAATTACTTTGCTCCTGGCCTACCCTGGGAATAGACAATGCGGAAGCCTGGGGGTAACAAGCGAGCTCTACCTATCCCCGCATGACATGCGCCGTCTTCCGTTCTGTCTTGAGAAGGCTGTAACTAACTAGCGTCGGACAGACTGCACGCTTGTTCCTTCAGATCAGACGCGATAGTTTGGCTCAACGCACCGGATGATATGCGGCGAACAGATAAACCATCAGAATACAGCCGATCTCAACCCATTCCTTCCTAGAGCCACGAGACCGCCGGGATCCCAGTAGGTCCATAGCGCTCCAGACAAATCGCGTGAAAACAACCCTCGTTGACATCGTGGCAGCAGAAGACCGCATGTTTCCGGTCGCATACGGTTGGCAGTGCAGCCTAGTAGAAAGGGCATGATATTAAAATGAAGACAGAAGTTGCTTCTAGTAGTGTTCGACTTTGCAAGCGGAGAAAAAAACACGAGTCGCTGAAAGTAAATAACTTGTTGCAGCTATTTTCCGCTATAGGACGCCAGCGGTAATCCTCCACGCTTCTGATTGGCTCGTTCAATTAGCGGCGATAGCGGCTTTGGACTTGATGATTCCTGCGTCACCACTCCCATGCCGTTTACCTCCATACTCTAGATCTGTTGCACCATACCATCATGTTCCTATCACATACCGTGGAAACTATGCATGCTTTCTACCATGATGCGAAAGCAGAAAGGACAGCATCTTAAACTTCGTACGTGTTGCTGCGGCGTAGATCCAACCACTACGGAGTTTAGGAACTCATCTCACTTCCCGCCTGGCCCCTGTTCGCGGAAGTTATAATACACGCATGGTGTACGGAGAACTTGTGCTTTTGAATTGATTTCACAAGTGGTAAGCGAGCGAAGGACTTTGTATTCCCATGACTGATTTGTGTTGCTCATCCCATCAAGATCAAGATCACGGTCAAGTTGTATTGGTAAGTCCTCATTCACCTGGCTGGCTTGATGATGCGGCGATATCAACGTAGCCGTGTATCTGCCAGAATGGAGCAGTACAATATTCTCTCACCTGTCTGACGTCGATACCGACATCAAGACCAGCACATCGCACACCCCAATATTAGCTGCTGTGAACTCTCTGTGAGTGACTGTTCGAGGGTTTATCACACCGCCACCGGAATGTGATCCATGTGTACTTGACACCCCAAATTTTAATCTTGATAGCGAAGCCGTAGACAACCCTATTGACCTGAGGTCGGCATCACAGTATCGACCACAGCGCAACCCACACAGGTGGGTGTATGAAATTTTTTCACCATCACATATCCCTCGGGATATCGCGAGAGGTGGGAGTGGGTACCCCTAATTTGCACCACCGCTTCGTGTTGCCCGTTTGAAATTGCGTACGTATTCCACCTTTACGTAGTACAGAACGCAAGAAGCTTGTCGAATCATACGTGCCATGACGTTTCTGACTGCCGTTACACTGAATCACAAACTACTGCGGTAAATGTTGGTTCACTGACGCATGGGCATCGCAGGGAATTATCAGCTTCGACGAGTGTTGTCCCCTTACAGAAACCGTATCTTTGCCGTCCAATTCCCTCACTCCCATTGGGCCGCAGTCTGAAAGGCGGGAGACCCGCTATTGGAATGATTCAGGCGTGGCTGATTGTCCTTTCTTAGACTCATGCAGCTAATTGTCTTTTTTGTTGTACTTTGACCACTTGCCAACCGTTGGTACAGTAATAGGCATTGTGTGCGCATTGTGAAAAAGGACCGTGGACTCGCTGACGAGATACTCCGACTTCTCGACCCAACGATACACGAGCACTGGAACTCGTCCTGGTGCCTTCCAGGGCCCTCTGACGGACACGCAAGGACAGACCCACACCTGGAGGCCTTTTCCTAAGAAGATGCCAAGTGTCCGACATTTTCCAGAAGGTACACGGCCTCTCACTGAACTAAAAATTAGGCGGAATATCATACAGGCTATAGGCTGGCCTGGTCGTTCGGGGCACCTCCATCGCTGAATCAGATGCCCAGGATTCCGTAAAAGAATCTGATGCTTGACCTGGCTTACGGGGTGGCCCGTCTATAACGTTGAGTTTGTACGAGTGTGCCGCGGTCAACGGGAAGCCGTCCATCCACTGTTTAACTTCAACGGCGCTTACTACTAGATGTATACTTCATCGAAGGTCAGAAAAGTCACATCATATCAGTCTACCATCTTTGATATCCGTCGTAAAACATGTGCTTGCGGTCGACTTCTCTAGCACGAGTATCGCGACCTCCGCTTGCGGTCAACTTCTCTAACACGAGCATCGCTACATCACGATCGCGGGGCCACACGGTGTGTGGCTGATCTAGTCCAGTAACTATTCGGCACCGCTCGACGGATGATGATATCACTGATGGAAAGGTACGCCCACACAGACGGTGCAATGTTGTCATTTCAACATGGTGAACTGTTGACTAGCTTGCATCCTATGATCCGTGCACCGGCGTATCTCAAGCGCTGCCATCAGATTGTGGATTACGGCCGGCCATCTGGGAATCCACACTGCCCAGTTCCTACCGTAGCAGGTGCGAATTCTCTTTGATGTGATGGTCAAGCCTCAAACAACTGATCAACATGAGCACGCGAACGTTTTCCGCTCTGAACTGCTGGTAGCCTAGTGTCAACGTAATCTGTGGGCATGAAGTTATAGGAATGTTCTCTCGCTAGCCGCTCCAGCTCTGCATCCGTATCATAACGTCTCTACGTATCCGTACAATCATCACGCTCTGCAGTTGACAGGTTGGCTGAGGCTCCAAACACAATTGAACCTTGGGGAGAATGCGGCTTTCCCGTGGGCCGAGGTCGGGGCTCAACATCTTGTGATCCACATGAATAAGTTTCCCATCAGATTTGCCTGTTCATAGATGTCTTGTCATATCTTCATACATACCCTGAATGGATTCTCGAGTACTCAAGCGTAGAATGGGATGAGGAGTCCGCCCAACATTTCAATCCAACCAAAGTACAGCAAACAGAACAATACGTTGTACTCAATGAAATTCATTCGTGGTCATACAAAGGATATCCGACGACATTTGACGTGCCACTTACGTACCCTCCCAATGCGAGCGCGGGCCATTCGGGAAATTACAGGCCGTTTTCTTCTTTGATGATGTCCGATGCTGCAACGCAATTGAGTGAGTAAAAAGTATGTGCATGTACACAGATAGGCACAAACCCATCTCAGCAATACTGTAAACGAGAGCTGTGGGCACAAATACTTTAGTACAAATCATACGCAGATGGCAAACTTGTTTACATTGTGTATGTGCGGAGACAGCCAGAGGCACGATAGACAAGTCAACGACACGAATGTTTTTTGTCCCATACACCTACAGCAGACGATAAGAAATCGCGTATGAAACGTTAAGAAGCCGTGAAAGCCAACCTTCAACTTGCTGTCCACAACTCCGCCTTTCTCCTTGGGCAACATGGACACAGATCCGTTGGTGTCTAAGAAGCACACGTTAGTCGAGAACATATGTAAAAATGGGCATGACTTACGCCACACGGTGACCAAAGTCTTCTTCACATGTTCTACATACACCGCGTCTATTAGAAACAACGACGTCGACTGCACGCAACAATGCCACTCACCCAGGAGAGCGTCATCATCAACAACATTGGGTCCCGGAAGAACCTCAGCAACGACGACGTCCTTGAAGGGCGCAGTTTGCGAAGCTTTCCTTGCAAACTTGGTTGCCTCTAAGATAATGTCTCTATCAACTTCTGCCTCGAGGTAGCGTGGGTCTATGGTGGGAGGGGCCTTCGGATCTGCAGAGTTGATATGCTTTCAAACGGACAGTCTATCAGCACACATCCTCTTTCTACAATGACGCGCTTACGATTGTTCCCCGAGAGAAAGGGTGGCTAACAACAGGAGGTAGCGCAATGAACGGTAGCGTCATGGCTGCAAGCACCGATCAGGCATGATTGCAACTCATGAAATAGATTTCAAACGCACGCGTAGGATCGAATGAGAAGGGGAACACCATGATCTCGATGTCAGGGACTTTTTCATTCTTCAAGATTTCGAGTTGCACCTTGTACTGCTCCTTCAGGCCAACAGGGGCGCTTGCGATAAGCTCTTCGACCTTCTTGTAGATATATGAAGATTTCTCCGTTAGGGTCTGAACGGGTAAGAACGACAATCCCGACATCACAAGCGATAGAGGGCTTTTAGTGTCAGGCCTTCCAAATGACCGGATAAGCAACTTCGCAAATTCATCACATAGAAATCATAAGCTTACAGCTGCTCCTTCGCCTTTGAATGGAATCCAGGATCACGAAGAAGGTCACTTGTGATAATGTTGGCGTCCTCGCGCATTTCTGTGACGGATGCATGAGCTCGCTGAATTATTCCCTGAACGACGACGAGCGCAACATACGGAAGACAAGTCCAGTGTGAGTGAGATGCTCCTGAACATTGGCTCCGACCCCAGGTAGATCCTCAAGGACCGGGATACCCAAAGGCTCCAACACCGCCTTGTCACCAATACCGCTGTGCTCGAGAACACTGGGCGACTTGAGCGCACTATTCAAAAATGCATGTTAGCAACGATCATTCAACCGGCGTACTCAAAAACTCACCCTGCAGATACAATCACCTCCTTCGTTGCATGTACTCGATGAATTACACCTCCATGCTCAAACTCAACGCCGGTGGCAACGACCTCGCCATCTTTCTGTGCAATGATCTTGTTTACGTATGCCTCACTGAGCACTTTCAAATTCGGCCTGTCGAGAACTGGAAAGAGATAGGACTATCATTCAGGCCTCTTCAGCTTGAATCAATTGTCGTAGAAACAGCCGATGTCTTACAGGTGCGGCATATGTTCGGGTATCAGTGTCGGTATTGAGAGATGACAGCGACTTGATTGTTCCAAAAGACTGAAAGAGGCTAAGTGAGACGACGTGCAGAAAGTAGGTGTGCGAGTAACGCACATCACCATTCAACTGTAATTAAATTGTCAGCGACGGGCGCGCCACCTGAGACCACAGATATAACGTACGGTATCGGTCAATGTGGTTACGCCGAAGTTCTCCAAACTCTAAGTTACAAGAAACATGAATCAAATGTGGACGTGCAAAACCAATCCATATACCTTCTGGAAAGACGACTCGGCACCTGAAGGCGTGCGAGTAAATGAGATGGATACAGCACCTGTACGAAAGGACTCAACACAGTTTCAATTATATGGAGCGCGACTTACCGTCCTTCCCAGCAGACTCAGCGTTGTATAAATTTCGGTACCCCTGCGATTCCACCTCCTTGGGAACCGCTAGCCTGATACGACAACTGCATGACGACATCGCCCAGAGCAGACACATGAGGCACTCACTTCTCGACCTTTTTCGTGTACTTCACAAATCGTTCGAAATTCCATCCGACGTTGCCCAACTTCTCAAACGCTTTGTTTGGTCAGTGAACAGACTGAGGCTCAATGTACGTAACGCCTACCATCAATGTCCTCACGCTGTGGTCGATTCCACAGGAGTAGGTTCATTGCCGTGCTTCCACCGAGACCCTTCCCTCTAACCTCCGACTTCAGATCGAGATCAATACTCAGAGACAAAACCCTTACCGGCTCAAAAAGAAAGGAGCCTTTGTTGCATGAGGTTGCGGAACAGTCAGGAAAGCCCAATCGTACTCGGGGTTCCCGAGTTGTCCTAGCCAGGCATCGGGCTTCTCTATACACAGTATTGTGGAGTCAAGCTAGTGCGAACACGCGCAAAGTAGAACCACAACGCACGGATGAGTGGATCGTCGATATGCGCCTTCCCTGCTTCAAGTAAGGCAACAGATATGCCAGGGTTCTCACTTAGGCGGTTGGCGAGTACCGATCCAGCTGGCTAAGGATCTGTTTGAGTTGGCTCCTCGCATCATGGGACATTCACGTACCCCTGCGCCTGTGGGTAATGTGGCGTTAATGACAGGTAATCATCAAGCATCTTCACGGTAAACGCACCAATTATGACGAAGTCAAAATGCTTCCCAGCGACATCATTCACAGTTGCCAGTTTTTGCTCCATCTCTGTTACTGCAGGGGGAAAAAAGATCGTATCCAGGAACGTCCTTAGGGTAGTTGCCTATGAAAGAGGTAGAGCTGCGTTTTGTGATGTTTAGATCGCAGGGATTCACTCGTATATACATCTTCGCAGCGTGAGAACCATTGATGGGCATCCTGGCAGCGGTATCATCGTATCTTCGAGATGGTATCATGAACGACAACGGAGCCCAGGGCCCCAGGCAACTCGAAAACCCGCTTACAGCCCGCTGTGGTCTTCTGGAACATGATTGATTGACGGGCTCCCAAAAAGCTCGGGTGGCCAATCTTTTCGTCTTGGGTTCAGATTTTGATGGATTTTGATGCTACGTGTCGGCCATGGGCTTGACAACTGCCCGCGGATATACTCAAACGGAGGTTCCAAATGGCAACAGCGAGTTGCACTGATGACCGTGTGAGAGTCTAGCAGTACCTTGAGTTTCCAGTTACTTGTCTCTCCTCAGTAAGCAATTAGTACCGGAAAGCCAGAGAGGGAGGGAGTGGAAATGAACTGAATTCAAACTGAATTAAGCAACCTGAGATGCTCGGGAAACTAATCGCAGCTTATCCAACTGATAACTTGATATAGTTTATATTGTTCATTCCAACAGCCCATATATGGAGTTAAATGTAACTTAGACAAGCGCTTATTGCCACCCACCTCAGGTCCGATCAAGCTGGCTGAACGGTACAAATGTATTCTTCCACGGCAGACGGGTCTGGTCTGGGCAAAGATGAAGCGACAATCTTCATCCGAATGCGCAGACAGCCGGGTGAGTTGGCATTGTTTCTCTTGTAGTGCCTAAGTACTGATTCGATATGATTGCACGCGCGGCCTCCAAGTCTCACGAGAGGAGCTGGATTCTCATAGATCCGTTCCCCAGATCCGGCTGCTAGCACTAGCCGCTGCTAAACCAGTGGCGCGGATATCCCCTTCGTGCCCCGTGAGACGCATCCCCACAATGTGGTTCTCTGACTTCTGATGCTAGGCTTTATTCTTGTGACTGGGTCCCTGGCCGCAATCAGATGGATTTTTTGGTGCGAAGCGACATCAACTTCGAGTTCTTCCCGCGTTCAGCTCTCAACCCCAGCTCAGCCCCGTCTCTACTTTTGGCAGTTAACTTTGACAGGAAACCCAGAATTCGAATGAGCAGACGCACGCAGGAACTGTTATGTAATTCCTCCTGGATTCTAGACAGAGAGCAGAATAAATGAGGCCGATCAGGAGAGAATGCGCACGTCGAACCATGGATCCCAAACACGCTGCACAGAAGTGGTTGAGTGCGTTTGCTACTGCCGCTTCCCAAGGGGATGTCGCTGCCCTCTTACAGTCTGTCCTCCCTCACGGATGGTTTCGCGATGCCCTCGTCTTTACTTGGAACACCCGTTCGCTGGAAGGACATGACAAGATTGCCGCGTATCTCACTGACAAACTTACCTCGGCCCAGCTCTCGAACTTCGAACTTGATGAGGAGCCTGGTCTATGCCCCGAGCTCCTCTTTGGTGTGGGTGTCGGAACAGGTTTCAAGTTCGACCTTCCGAATTGGCGAGGCCACGGATACGTACGTCTGCTCCCCGACGAAGCGACGGGTGAGCTCAAAGCCATTTCGCTCTACGTATCGCGCGACAGCATCAAAGGTCACGAAGAGATTGGGCGTGAGCTGGGGATCTTCAACAATCATACACTTTCCTGGCATGAGATCAACGCGTCTAGGCGTGCGGCGATCGAGAAGGATCCCTATGTGATCATCAGTATGTCGTCTTGTTACTTTGGCTAGATCATGATCTGAAACATTCCATAGTTGGTGCTGGCCAGGCAGGGCTACAGGTTGCAGCTCGCCTGAAACAGCTTGATGTTCCAGCTCTCATTGTAGAGAAGCACAAAGCTGTAGGCGACCAATGGCGAGCCCGCTACCCAACGCTATCCATCCATACCATCCGTCGCCATCATGAATGTGAGTTTATTTGCCGTGACGTCATATTAGATCTGGATCGTTTTTCTTCCTCGTAGATCTCTATGCTCCGTATCCTGAAACTTGGCCTGAGTTCACTCCCAGGGAGAAGATTGCTGACTGGATGCAGTACTATGCAGTATCGCAGGATCTCGTTGTATGGACGAGCTCCTACATCATACCTACGCCATCTTACGACTCTCAGTCCAAGAAGTGGACATTAATCGTGGATAAAAATGGCGAGCAGGTAGAGCTGCACCCCTCCCACATTATTTCCGCAATTGGAGCTCAAGGCCCTCCCAATATGCCAGAGGTCGCCGACAAAGACGTTTTCAAGGGTGAAGTAATTCATTCGAGCAGCTACAATGGCGGGGAACCCTACGCAGGGAAGCACGCAATCGTTATTGGCGCGAGCCAGTCTTCTGCGGACATTTGTCAGGATCTGGCCTACCGTGGTGCGGCATCCGTCACCATGGTGGAGCGCGGGTCAACTACTGTTGCATCCTCGAAGAAGGTGATGGAGGATTTGTACGAATTCTGGCCGAGCGGTGTCTCAACCCCAAACTGCGACTTCAAGTTGTTCTCCATGCCGATGAACCTTTATCGGAAAATCTTGCAGCCGCGCGAGGCCGAGTTTTGGGAGCGGGACAAAGACTTGGTCGACATACTCAAGAACAATGGCATGGCCTTAACTATGGGGACAGACGGGTCGGGCTATCACCCTTTGGTTTTCGAACGATTAGGAGGTGCGCCCACTGCACTGCCATACATGTACGAAGCACTGATCTCCTCCATTAGGATACTGTAAATCATTCTTATATCTCTCACGTTATGTCTGAATCTGATATGGTCACATTCGCTGTTCAGGGTGGGACGTAGGGCTGTCCGCGTTCATTGAGAGTGGTCAGGTCAAGATCAAGCAAGGCGTTCTGATTGAACGATACACCGAGCATGGTGTGGTCTTCACAGATGGCTCGGAACTTCAGGCGGATTTAGTTGTTTTCGCGTGAGTGCATCTCACGACATGTCCATGTGCACAGCTGTACTAACGCCGCCGAATCCACTCGCAGCACTGGTTTCGGTGATCCACGGGTCAATCTTAAGGAGACATTCAGCGCCGAAGTTATTGACCGGACGAATCCAGTGTGGGGTCTGGACCATGAAGGGGAGATCTGGGGGTCCTATCGGCCTACAGGTCATCCAGGCGTGAGTTATCCATCGCTTATTAGTTCCTCTTGTGTCTAATCTTCACGTCAATGAAAGTTCTGGTATGCGGCAGGAGATTTCTCCGCCGCCCGTGCCTTGACCAAACAGCTGGTAGGAGCTTGTTCTCCAATTTCAATTAAACCTGTCACTGATATGCTGGGACGTACAGGGTTTGCAATTGCAGGCAAGGCAGCTGGGTCTGGTTTCCGATGATAGTTGAATATCCAATGGTTGTTGATTGTATGGCTGTAGTTAATTTACTTAATGTGAGCGCATCTTAAATGAATGGCTCATGTCGCGATGAGCTGAGCTATGTCGGATCTTCATTTCGCGTTATATATCTGCAAGGCTGTGTACGTGGACGTTTTGGTCTGCCAAGTTGTTCTCGGCGCTCTGTTTGCCTTCGATTCACTTCACTTCCATATTTATTTCATTTTACAGTCCCGCTCGCGGGATGTGTATTCTTATCGATGACACCGACATGGACGTGCAGTCTACAGTATGCTCCGACTGGGCAAGGAGCATCGGAACCTTGATGTTCCAAAAGTTCCTATCTCGTCGATGCGTCCAGCGCCGGCATTGCGCCATATAGTAGAACGCTCTGTGAGTAATTAGTACTGCGAAGGTGTCTTTTCTCTCATCAAATTTTCTTGATTCATGCCGCTGGCATTCATGGTAGACGTTCAGCCAGCGTTGTTCACTGTAGGCTCCAACTCAGGCTATGCCTGTGCCCTAAGCCCAGTATCACTATCACATCGGAAGTTCCGTCTTCGGCAGCCACGCGTCTGTCCGAAGACTATTACGATGATACAGAAGATTGTGCGCGAAACGACCGGTGTATCAGGTAATCGGCTTACCTTAACTTGGATCGTGGCGTAAGGTAGAAGCTGATGGCGGCTTTAGTGGTGATGACTGCTAGAACTTGAATTTTGACACCTCACGCGCGGAACGTAGACGTCCTGGTACGTCAGGTACACTCGGAACCCCTGGCGCGGTCACCAATTGGCTGGGGTGCCGTCTCACTTGAGGTTGTGAGGTGTTAAGTTCGAACATAATGGGGAGGCCTTTTGGAACCTGTATTTGCAAATAACGTTGTCGGTGCGTGGCGTGGAGCCCCAGACATTACAAAATTATTGAAGGACGCTCGATGTTATCATTTAAGATATTCCGAATAAATCTTACATGGATGTAATTGTGCAGCCTCGCCCCTCTAGTGCAATCACGTTTCATCGAAGGCCGAGACTTTCTTCTGTATTCCTGTTTCTCATTGCCGTATATCAACTGAAACACTTCCTTTCGTCTCTTTCATCTTCAATAAAGCAACACTGCATGATGTCAATTCGTTCAATCGGTGGTCCATATTCTCATCGCAAGCGAAGAGGGGAAACTACCGGGATGGAAGCGCAACGTTGATATCTCAGCCCCGAGAACCTGATATATTCGCTGATGAGGCGGTCGTTGGCTTCTTGCATGTAGGCGCAACCACCGGGAGGAAAACCCGTGTTTCCTGGACATACATCACGAAAGTAGAAGGAGGAAAACGTTGGTACGATCTTGAATTGAACAACTTCCTACAGACAGAGATTCCTACGAGTCTCGGACAGACTTTCGTTACGTCCCGTGGATGCAACTCACGGAATTCGCGAGGTGTCACCAGTCAAGACTCCGCGCCAGAGTCAAGTTCGAAATGCTCGTGCATAAGATGACCATGGCAATATGTTTTATCAATGCATCGGTGGCATTTATATTCATATCAAGCAATTTTATCCGGCTAATTTTCTCAACATCCCTTATGAGATTGTTCAAGCGATGCATACCACATCCTTCTGAATTTGCACAGCTACATCGTCGACAGTAGCTGAACACTGACGCAAGGAGATGAATAATTTGAAGAGGGAGTCTCCAGTGGCATCTCGATGTGAAAGTATAGATGCATGTTGTAAATTCATGCACAGAAAGCATTCAGCCGCATCTTATATTCCGAATGGCTTTAAACGTTGTCTCTATGCATATTCTGTAAACACTCTTTTCGCCTTGTCCAATTTACCTTACTACATAGAAAGGGCCACCACTGACTGGGCTGGAATTTTCATCAACCGCATGCGTTCGCAGTTGTCGTATTTGTTCGTAATTTATTTCACGTTGCGGGTTTATTTTGTGCTGAAAAATAGAGCCAAATGTAGTACACACAAACTGAAATTTTAGTATCGCGACCGCCGCGATGAAATCTTCTGTCATCTAATGGACTGCCCTCTGATTCGGTTTACCTTGGCGTGATCCGTAGTCGAAATTCCATCAATCTTCAGTCACATAGACTATACCCAAAGCATGATTACTAACCCATATTCCAGACGTATGATGACTCCGCATGGGAGCGCAGCTTCACGGCCAAACGAGCCGTCCGAATACTACATAGAGATGAGCCAGAATTAATTATACGCCTCGGAGCGAACATGGTCTCGGATAACCCCGAAAGTTTTGCAGATCTGATTGGGCAGTTGACTGCGTGGCAGGTGAGTGGCGGATGTGACTTTGCGACAGTTCGACAGGTACCCCGACGACCGACGACTTCAAGTTGAGCATCGAATGCATGCTTATTGATGAACCACAGCGGGAAATTTCTCGCACTGCACTCATGCCACTCTGCTTCTAAGTATCACGGCTGTGCTTCGACCTGATTCTTCCTCGGGCCGTCGACATCGCTCTAAGTCCGGCTTGCTTTCCTTGGCTCATGATTTCTCAGAACACAAAGTTTTAGGCTGATGCTCGCACGTCGGACCACACTTCGTCCGCTGTTCATCCGTCATGTCTTCCTGTTGACTGGTTGACCGTGTTGCTTGGTGTACGCACTCTCCGGTGTCCGGACGACTTAGGGCGGCTTGGCCCGGGGACCTCGCTGACAATCTTTTTGAAGGTGGCCTCGTTGGCTCCGCATCACGAATGGTATGGGCGTGAATCAACGGCATGCAGCTGGCTGAAAGCCACCGCATCAGGGGCGTTCTTGTTATCCACGGTGTGTGTCCTGAGATAGGATCCTGTTCTCAGTGGGGCTGACGAATTTGTAGTTCGTAGGTACGGTGGAAATACCAAGTGGGTTAACAGGTGCACATGCTCTCTCACATGGTCCGGCTACCAGACGCCGAGCATTGCCAATCGCTGTCCCGGCCCAGGGTTTCCAATTCAAGCCGATATACGTACCGTGTCCGTCTTCCAGCATTCGCTCGCGGGGAACAGCATGAGTGGTCTAATGCTGCGTGGTAGAGGTATTTCCAGGACCACCCGGTTCAGGCGCCGGAGGAATTCAGCATGAGAGAAAGCTTTCGCAAATACGTACGCAATGCCGGAAAGCTTTCCAGGATGTCGTATCAGTTGTTGCTAGCGACAAAGTGAAGTGGTTAGCAATCTGAATCAATAAATTTGTTCACTGTCAAAGGTATCTGCATGCCGAACAGTCTGTCATACATCACCCACGAACGTTTTTGGCTGACTATACTTGCTTTCCGTGGGATCAGAGCGCCTTGATCCCGTTTCAGCTTCATTGCCCCAGTGGTCGGTCTGCCGCCACCCGTATTGTGCTTGGCTTTTTAATGGTGCTCCCGGCCTTGACCCGTCTTTAAGCGCGAAGGTTCCCCGTCCCGGACCTCGATTGCGTCCATTAGTGTTCTCTGACTTATCCCTCTTCTACTATTCAAGTCTTCCGTTGGGAGAGGCAGACCATCGCATCATGGCCTCTGAAGCGGCAGAAGCACAAACGCTTGCGCAGTTCGTGTATGTGGTTTGGAAAGTCGGTGTTCTTCTCGCGTACTTATCATTCGATGCCCTCGTATAGAGACGGTCCATGTCTGGCAGGAATCTTCATGAATGTAATGTGTGTCTAGGATTGGATCCCCATCGATCTATTCGGCTCACAGCCTCTCACTAGGCTATATGGCGTCATGCTCACCCAGACATTTTTCTACTACACAACGTATAGACAGTGCGTTCGTAGATCCTAAGAAGCAGCGTGGCCTGACTGATTTCATCATGTAGCGATCCTACCTGGATCAAGGTCTATGTGAGCTTCATCAGCAATCACAGGTGTTTCATCATCTTATAATGTTTTATCAGGTCGGGATTCTCTTCTTCGCTGATACACTCAACACTGCGTTCAACATTGCATGGATATATGGCGTACTTATAACAAATTTCGGTGAGTGGTGGTATGTTCTGCCACGGATCTACATTGATGATAACATGGTCATTTCAGGCAGCCTCAATGCAGTGATTTATGCGAATTGGTGTATGTTATTCGTGATGAGGTTCTTTCGCAGTCTGACCAGAATTTATAGTGATGGAGACAGGTATGATCACCATCGAAACAGAATGCCTATGATTTCCTGACACCATTGTCTGATCGACGCAACTAGAGGAAGCTTTGACTGTAAGTCAAGCTCTTGCCCTCGATGCCTTCTCTAATTCACGTGGTTGACAGGGTATAATTGGGGCACTCGTCCAAGTATTCTACGCGTGGAGGCTTCTCAAACTCACCGGGAAAAGGTGGCTAGCGGGTACCGTCGTAGCATTAGCTATTATTCAATCCCGTAAGTCAAGTCATTTAGAAGCCGTTCTGTGCTCCATATTTATCACCGTGATGCAACGAACAGTGGCAGCTATCGGCACATCCATCAACATGGCGATGCGACCACTTATTACTAATTTCGTACACTACAAGGTAAGTCTCATGCACCGTCCTCGGATGATGTCATCTAATAGAATCCTCAGGAAGCTGTTCTGGTTTGGCTATCAGCTACTGCATTCAACGACGTCTTAATTGCGCTGTCTCTCATCTGGTTCCTGGTTTGTTCAAATTTATTAATCTAAAAGCAATGTACGCTCATCAGACAGGATGCTGTAACAGAATCGCAGCCGCACCGGTCACTCGAAGACGGAGACTGTAATCTCTAAGATTATTCAAAGTGAGTTGCAGTGGTATTCTTAGAGACGGTACTGATAGGTTCTCAAGTCACGATGTCTAATGGACTCCTTACCGCAAGCTTTGCGCTGGCAGATATTATCGCTTATGTAGCATCAGTAAGTATTTTCTTTATCTCTCCCCTGAAGGTATTGACAATTGTTCGTCACAGCCTGGTGGTTTGCATCTTGGTGAGGCTGCATGAATAATTCATTAACCACGCTCTTACTGATTGGGTATGGTAGCATTTAACTATACTTTATGCAAGCTGTGAGTACATTACTCAGGCCTTTCTTCCTGATATATCTGAAAGCGGTAACCTCGCAGATATGGCAACTCTGTCATGTCGAGCCTTAATTCTCGCGCAATACTGACTTCGGCCAGTCGTAATCCAACAGGGCACACGGCTTCGTCAGGAAGGGTGAGTGTATCCAAGCACTGCTGTCGACGTTGGATATTTAATTTGTTTTAGACGATGCCACATAGTGATATCGATGATATTGGTTCCAAGGGCTCGCGTTCCGCTCAGGTATGAACTCAAGGCGTAGCGCAGCCATTGTGTATCTTACAAATACATGAAACTGTTACAGGTCATGGTCAGCGTTGAGACACATCAAATGGTCGACATGTCCGCGGCTGGGAATCGAAAATCTGACGTTGGCTCGCATTTGAGCGACGCTAAGATCGTAGCTGTCGTTTAAGGAAGATGAGTGGTCTGGTCTGCTTCGCGGATATTTGTATGATACCACACGCATGAAACTTAATAGGATTGCTGCACATGACGTTTCCTGACTACATTTCTATGTTGAGAATGGTCACAGACGGGCGGGTCATCCTCGTCCTGCTCTTAAGAGCCTCGGGCGGCCAGCAGTCCGCTTGGAATAGCGATTCGCTCGTAAGCCACTAGTCGCATCTTGACGCGCTACGTCAGTCTTCACTCCGGGTCGATTACAACGCTAGCAGCCTACATCATTCTTGATCCCGTCTCGAGATGCGCTGTTCATCATTTAAGGATCCAAGAACCCGCTTAAAAGATGCCCGGCGCGGGGAATGAGGCGTTTTAACGCGCACCTGTTGCGCACAGGTGTGTCAGCGCCACTCAGGTCGCGATATATACACCTAAATGAACGTGCTCATTATCAAGATTGGAGACTAGAAATGGTCATGGCATCAGATGCGCAGACATGTCAGATTCTATACCCACTAGTTCTGCGAACCTCAGTGCGCGCTGTTGTGTTCCACGACGTAGTCAGCAATCGCAAGCTACTAATGATGTGATCTCAGAGGACTGTAGTAAGGGGAGGGGATTTGAATTAGTACAACTGTGAGTCTAAGACCTCAGACTTCCAGTGAGATGAGCACTGAGATGAGTACGGATAATGATCGGAATTTGAGACAACATCGGAATCTCTTGAGTCTGGGTGAGTTGTCTTCCAGAGCCTATTGCATTCCCCTTCATGTAGATGCATATCCAGAAAGAACCAAGAAACAGTTGACATAAGCCGTGCTGAACGGATGTTGTCGACGTCTCCGAGGTTCAAGTTCGTTCCCAGGACGACATATCTTTCTGTGGGGATCATTCGCTTAGATGGTCCCGAAAATATCATGTGCAAAGCAAGGACTTCAAGGACACTGGTTTTCACTTCGGATCATTTCAAACATGCAGGCAGAGGAGTATGCAAGGGCGTAGCCACCGAGGAACGCGTAAAGCAATTGCCGCCGGGTTGTGCTGCGTTAAAGCGCCTATTCAGTATTAGAGTGACAGTACCGTGACGCATCTATATAGGCTCCTCTTCCTCCTCTGGTGTGCTCACATATTAACAAATGACTCTCGTTCTCTATTGAGGGCTACGATTTATTCTGGTCATTTCTAGTACCCGATCAGCCTTTCGGGCGGAAACTTGCAACAGCAACAACTCGATTCCAAAGTCGATCACGACTGAGACAGTCATGATCATCCTCTCGACCGGCACTGCTACTGGCAGAGGTACATGATTTTCAAGCATGAGCGTAACTTTGTGGTGTGCACGCTCGTGCCCTGACGCATTTGATGCTGTACCATATATGCTCGGCACGATATAGCGCCATGTCACTCTGAACCTTAATGTTCGTTACTTAGTTTTTGCCCCCTTCCTATGGATTCTAGTCCAGAGACGGTCTACTATGATGGTTCGTGCATAGAGCTACGAATACGTTGTGTCTACAATTCATTAATTCACACTTGCAGTGATCATCGTCGGAGGGGGCGTCGCAGGTTGCGCTGCTGCGTTAACTCTATTTCACTCAAACCCGGGTGCATCCGTCCTGATTTTAGATGATGCAGACCCTGGTGTATTTAAGGTAAACCGACTGATCCCCACCTCATATGTGGTGTTGATTGACCCCGATCGTCTTCAACATTCAGATTGGAGAGTCGTTGCCTGCTGCCGCCAAGCAGATTTTAACATATCTGTCTCCTGATCTTCTTCAGCGACTTTCTGGAGATGGGCACGAAAGGGCGTATATCAAGTGCACAGGCAATGCATCAGCCTGGGGAAGCTCCGAACTGGAAGAGACACACGCGATGATGAATCCGTTTGGGATGGGATGGCATCTCGACAGAGCTTGTTTCGACCAAATCTTGCGCGACACGGTGTCCAGTGCTGCACCCGACACTATTTCGCTCGTCAAAGGTGTCTTTATGAGCGTAGATACACGGGACGACGCTTTGCATTGGTCTCTGTCAGCGAGCATCTTTGAGTCTGACAAGACGAGAGTCTTCACGTCCAAGTGGGTGGTTGATGCGTCCGGACGGAAAGCAACCGTCGCACGCAAGGTGAGACACAGCCTCTATTCAGCACTTGCTGGCCCAGATACACAGTTACACTAGCTAGGAGCGCGAACGATCAGAGAGGACGCACTCTTGGCATTCTATGCCGTGTTCGTCTCGCCACCGACTACTGAAGACCAAGATTTCCGGACCGTAATTGAGGCCAGCGAGTCCGGATGGTGGTACAGTTCCCCCCTTCCCTCCAACCGCCGCGTCGTGGCTTACCACACCGACGACTCCAACCCGACTTCGAGGGACGCACGGAAGCAGGACGGTTTCATTAATCTTCTCCACACCAACACTCAGCACATATCGCAGCTGATCACGTCGGGCGGCTACGACATCCTTGTCCACGGTGACGCAAAGTACCCGGTGTGCACCGCAGCGGGCTCTGCACGCCTCGAACCACCTTGTGGTGTGTCTGTGTCGAGCGAGGCGAAGTGGATCGCAGTGGGAGATGCAGCTATGGCGTTTGACCCCCTCTCATCTCAAGGGATGATCACTGCCTTGAAGATGGGCTGTTTCGTAGGCGACGTGATAGCCCGGGACCTCCTCGCAGCTGGTTCGGACGATCCTACATCTATATTTCAGAAAGTCTATTCGCAAGCGTGGTCGAAGTACGACGAGGAAAAACAGTATTTCTATGCTCAGGAGAAGAGATTTGACGGAGAGTTCTGGAGGGCGAGAAAGTGATTTCGGGCATGATATTCCATAACGGTAGGTAAGGACTGTAGGTCAGCAAAGTTACAGTGTCGCTGAATCATATTCGATGCTTCGTGCCCAAGTCAAGGATAAGGTCCTGCGGTAACGTACTAGCGAGAACCCCAAATGAAGAGTTGCGTAGTGATTCAGCTTGGAATTGACTAAAACGAGTGCCCCCATGCCAGTCCTGCATCTTGCTGTAGTGTACGGTGAAGCTCGTGCACACCACTTTCGCCCTCGATTGTATCCCAAGCAAGTGTGGTTTATTATATGGTTCGCACAATGTTTGGCATAGAGCACGATCACAGAAACATCGTAGAGCTTCTAGTGATACTTATCTAGCCGCGTCAAACCTCATTGCCGGGCCACGGGATTCGATCCACCGCAGAACGAATCAGCTGCAATGTCTCCTTATCGTCTCGATTGGCCAACTCGGCCGCTGCGTCAAGATGGCCCTTCAATTTTTGATGTAGCTCTACACCAGCGTCATCAACCTTTTCCGGGTCCTCCCCTGCCTTGGTCCTGTAGAATTCAAACGGAGGAGCAGCGTGCTGCCCGTCCTTGAACGGCTTCTCGACCATCAAGTCTGCGAGCGGGGACAACACGTCGAGCATAATTGAGTGTATCATGGCGATGAGCGCACGGCGCACGACAAGGTCAGCGGCGCGCCATGTCTTCTGGATCGTGATGAGAAGATAACAGTAGACAGCATTTGATGCGAGCGCAAGCTGTCAAATATGGAGTCGGTGTCTTGCGTAAGGCGCAGAGAGCTCATGAAACTCACTTCGTGCAAGAACGGATCGTCCGCATACATTTTGGTTGTCGGCGAGGCAGGCACGGGCCAGCATTGCCAGGTTGTCGGACCCTGATAGAGGTCGAGGAACATCTGGTAGTGAGCCTCTTCAACTCCAACACTACCTTCGCCTTGATCAATGATGAGCTTCAACGCCTTGTATGCAGATTTCTGATCGACGATCTGCACCATCATGTCGCTGAAGAATTCTGTCGGTGAGTATTGGATTTCCCTATTTTTAAATTCAAGATATGGTTCGCAGTTTATGATCACTGATGCGATAATCAGAAGTAGCCAGCAGGGTGTACAAGCAGCTTACTCGACTCAAGCTTAGTGTAGAACTCCCCGATGCTATTGAATTGAGTTAAGATGCCGTACCATAACGTTTCCCATATGCTGGAGGACGTGATGTCCGCCTGCTCTTCGGTATCAGACAGGATCTGTGGTTTCTCGTACGGTGCCTCAATCTAGCATCAAAGTGAGACGCGATACAAATGGTAAAATGTCAATGGACTCACTTGTAGAAACGATTTGAGCATGCTCTTGTCGCATAGCTGCAGTTTGAGGGGAATTTTCGAATGAAGCATGAAATCGTCGGGGCCGCCATACGTTGGGACAGATGCAGTTGAGTAAAGTTGAGGACCAGAGTCAATGGATGTCAAGAGATTCCCCGCTAGTGCAAGATGTAGCATTTCCTGATGAACGACGACTACACGCCTCGGGATCAGCAGCTTGATGAGATGCGGCTTGAACGAGAGACTACCTAGGATCTTCTTCCTTGTCATGCTGCCTCCTGCCCCATTGTCATTTCGGATGCTAAAGATTGAGTACAAATAGAGCTGAAGAGCAACGTTATATATAGCAGCATCGGTGTCATACTAGTTTGATGTATCTCACGGGAATAGTCGAAAGCTCGACCCTGACTGCGTCGCGGAGCATGAGCACAATTTCGTCCTTAAATTGGCGTTTCTCGACCTCGGAGGGTGTCAGGGAGTACTCCATGGCGAGTTGTTGTGGTGGGAGACTTGGGACGAGGCGGACTACTCACAAAGTCCGGATTTATGTGAGAGAAGGTGAATCATGGAATCTTCCTCAAAAGGCGCAGCCGCGTACATCTAAACATTTGGGGTGGGGGCAAATTGAAATTCGCCATCCGGGTTCGAGGTGCATAACGGATGTGCCGGCGACATGGCCGTACAATGCAGCCTATGATTTGGTTTAGCGAGACCCATGAGCGGGCAGTGTGGTGGGGGGGGGATGCTATGTTGGCATTTGGGATCAAATCGGATGCGTCAGTCGTCTCCCAAACTAACCCAGCATAAGCAAAACGCATCGGCACAGATGAGTTCAAGCTGATGTGTCCAGCTCACCTTGCGTGTATTAACACGTGCATCCAATCAAGTGGCCCTCTGTCTGCTATAACTAAACCTTGTGAGACAGTAGCATGGAGGACAACTTGAAAAGTAAATAAAAAAGCTGTCAGAGATGGCGAAGCTCACACCTGGTTTCAAATTGTGTGGCACCTTGAATATCGATAGGGAGTCTTGCGCATGATGATGGCGTACAATGTACACACGGTGCACCGACGTGACAAAATCTGGAATGTTGTCTGCTGGCAATGGCAAAGCTAGGTCAGGGTGTGACCTGTAAGTTTGGATGGTGGCCACCACATTGAGCGCTGACTCGGCGCTCCGACGCCGCTGACACCTAAAGCTCACATCTAGTCTCCCCGGTCAGGCAGTCCTTAAATGACGATCTTAAGGAGGACGGCCACATAGGCTCATGTCGCTGGCTATGCTCTGGTTTCTGGCCAATATTTTGCTTTCTGCCACGGAGATTGTATCGACATTTGATGAGACATTTCTTCAGTTCTGCCTTCCTGCCAAGGGGGAAAACAGCTAGTTGCAAGTCATGACTAGTAGCCTCTTCATTCTAGATCACACGAACGCCGCGATTAGACCGCGAAGCTGCATGGTCGCTCCGACCCGAGGTCGGCGACAAACTATAAGCGTGGTGATATTGACTCGGAGTTGCAGCACCATTTCCACAGTTGACCACTTGGGGTATGCGAAAGGCCAGTTAGGCTCGACTCAGAAGTCTCGGGGTGCGCTCTCATGGAAGGCCCTGTCAGTAGCCACACGCCACAGTAACTCCAGTCTGGCTTCACTGAACAGTGGTGCTTGAAACTGTCTGTCCGTGGCGTGTTCAGATAACAGCCCCTGTCGACATGGACACATGGTCCTTGTCAGTAGTTTGCATACTGCGTCCCGTGTTATGAACTTAGTTTTTATGAAGCGGGGGTGAGAAGGTATAAGTACATTCCTCTCATTTCATTCAAGGTAAGATTTATCAAGCCCTTCTCTGAATCAACGCTCTGGGACTTTTGAAGCTTCTGACTGCTGCATAATGTCCATTGACCCCACTGAGATCAGCTACATACAGATCTTCCCGCCTATAGGCATAGCTCGTCTTGGAGATTCCGGCTTCAATCTCGACACTGGAGAACCAGATGGCGACATCGAATATTTCCTTTCTCCTGAAGTGCCCGGCTCTGACGACGTCTCACCCGCTGTGAACAATAGTTTTAGAGACTCGAAGTATAGAATCAAGCGCATGGTGTGCAGTTTTGAATTTCCTCTCGCTTCTGTCAATAAAAAGTATGCTATACAGGCTGTTCGTTTCCGCGCATACGCCTACGATAAAAACGGGAAAAACCTTGGCGAAATAAAATCCGGCGACAAATCACAGTATACTCTCACTTGGACTGTTCATGTCGCCAATCATAAAGGTGCATATCATACGTTCAGAGGTATGTCCTGACAGTCCGCTATGAGTATCGACGGCAATGAAATTCGGCTGCCCAGGGCAATATTCAACGGCGGATATAAGCTTGAGGAACCCAGATGTTCAGCCAACGACGGTAGGGATGTCTGTTTCTGTTTGCGACTGTAGCTAACTGCTACGCATAGACATATGACAATCGAACTGACCTGATCGTCGATGCCCAAGAGCAGCAAATATCAGGTCTGAAGATGATAACAGATTTGAAAGGGGGTTTCAAGGGATCCAAAGCTAACCCTGTCGAAGTACATCTTGGGCAAATTCGCACCGACGAGCATGGGCGTCTTATTTTCATCGGTGGAGCTGGATATTCGCGCTCCGTCGCGGATCCCAGCCAGCCCCATTTTCAGCCAGACATAATTTCTGCATTTGACAGCATTGACTGGGTCGACGATACATGTGATGGTTGGGTTAATGTTACGGTCAAACATCCGGATCTCGCGGAAATGTATGGTCTCTGTGTGTTTTCAACCTGACTCTAATCCTCAACGCATTGTACAAGTCTCGCAGCGCTTCAAAAATCAACTATACTGGTCGCGCCTCCAAGATTTGTATGGGGTATCCAGGCTCCGACGACCTTGTACGACCTCATCGCGAACATCTACAATAAAGAAAAGGGCTGGAAGGATCATGAAGGGACACTGTTTTACTGGGATATATGGCCCGTCTTGCTTTCCTGCTATACTCTGTCATGGGTCAATAATGAAGCATATCAAGGTCATGGTAGGTCCTGTGACAGCATTGATCGTATATCAACTGAATGGCATTGCCGCTAGGTGTTGCCGGTATGGGGAATTTCTTGCCTATAAAATCTAAGCTGGCCACACCGGGAAAAGCCATGTCTGACGCAATTCTACGCGACCGTATTTTCAAGCGGTTGAGAGCGCCAGACTACGAGAAGCCAGACCAGGCATCGACAAAGTTTATGCCGAGGCTGTCTGGTGACGGGTGAGTTCTTCTTCACCCGTACATCGTCGAAATTCTTAGGTGACCGAAATAGTGGTGATCTTGATCGGCCTGGCGAGCCTATAGGTTCAAAAAATCTCATCAGAAATTTCGCCGCGCTCACTAAGCTTCAGTACGATCACTTTTCCAAGTGGAAAGACGGAGACTTTCTCGCGGACGACGCCCCGTGGAGCTCGTACAAAGACATCGAGTCTGTCCCTACTACCTTGCAGCCGCTGTTCCTGACACGAGCTGCGCTCGAGCACACCATAGGCGAACCCCTATATCCTGGAATTGAGATGTCTTGGGAGGCTAGGGAGTCACAAATGTACGTGCTGGAGCGGCACCCTTCCAGCAAGGACAGCGACCCTCCATTCCGTATCAATCACGATTTGTTCCCGGCTGGCCATGTCTGTCGTGGTCTGAGCCTTCCATGGCAGAGTGATTTCAATCAATGCAACACTTACTGGTAAGTGCATCCCTTGTGTATTACGGCCAGACGTTTATCAGCATTGCTAGGTGGCCATCCTCTCGTCCTGATGATATCATTAATATTCTTAGCCTGGACGGCTTGCCGCATGGGGTGACACCCTCGAGGCCTGACCCGACAATCCGTGATATCTCTGTCGACGAATTCATAAAAACTGTCTCCCCACAGAGAAGAAAGTGGTCTCGCGGCATACGCAATACCCCGGAGTGTAAGCCACCACCTTATTGTCTGTACTGCCATACGATGACCATGGCGAGAGCAGTTCCGAGTAGCTTCTATCCAGGAAGCACGGATATGGTTCGATTCTGGCAGAAGCTTGGGTTTGTGACGAAGCTCCCGGACACCACTGTTGGCGGGCTTCCCATGTGGTTGGAATCGGAGCGCGTACACATTGATAGGAGCCGGTCAATGAACCGAGGGGTCATTACGGCACCCTTCTCAAACGTGCAAGACGACATCGATTGAGTAGCGGGTGAGCTTGTGATAGCGTAGGGGTCGCTAAATCGCCCAATAGTTGTTTTGTGTGGATACATACATACGGCCACAAAAAATAGCGTTGGCCTATTCGATCGATGCATTGAGCCACTTCGTTAACGTCCATAGGCTGTGAGATGCGATGTATCGAGAAAACGGCCAGCTTCAATGTCTCCCTCCCGCGCAGGCGATATGGCGAGATGAATACGTTGATCCATGTTTGCCTCAATGGAAATCTATAGCTCGCGCATTACGACCATACTGACTCCATATCGTAGGCATATGGATGGTATAAAGAGTATTTCGAGTGCAATCTTTCTCAATGACATACATAAATCAAAAGTTGAGAACACATTCGACAAAAGTCAGACGTTCCAAACACCAGCCAACTTAGTTTTGTTCAGCACGGTGATAAGTGATCAAAGCGACGATACCATACAAGATATGTATGAGAATGACAGATGATTCCACAAGCACTGAGAATACAGGCGTCAGGTACAAAACATAGCAGGATGGTCAAACAAAACACCAGCCCTCTGACAACTCAAAACTCCCGATTCGCAACCGCTTCAGCGAGCATAGCCTTCGTGTGTTCCGAACGTGGCTTGATATCGCATTCAGTGTGCTCCGGGAATCTGTTTCGCAAATCCACATCAGCACAATCACCCTTGCATTGCCCTCACCCCAGCCAACACTAGCCGCAGAAGAATCAACGATCGCGTTTGAAGACACTTACACGATGGTTCCACTTGTATACGTCAGTTCCGGTATGATCTCCTTGCCCTGCGCGTCAAGCTTCGGCACGATGGTGCACGTCGCCAGCAAGGTCGCGATGACCGCGAATGCGGTACCTTCCGCGAAGTGGTACCCGGGGCAGAAGCGCCGCCCAAAGCCGAACGCCAGGTCGGTGACCTTTTGCATCTCCGCGTCGTCGCCGCCGAAGCGTTCGGGCCTGAATTCCATCGGGTCAGGGAACTCCGCGGGGTCGTGCAGCATGTACCTGCGCAGAAGTAGGCAGCTGGAAGTCAGCGAAAGGAAAGATGGAGGGTGCGAAGACGAACCAGACGTTGGGGATGATCACACAACCTTTGGGCAGGAGCATGCCTTTGTATATGTCGTCTTGTCGTAAAGCATGAGGTAGACCTGAACCGAATTCGTAAGTGCATCTATCGAGAAAAGGTGCGTGCGGCCTACATAGAGGTATGGCAGGCTGCCATCGGAAAACTTCAGTGATCAGACTTCGCACATACGGAAGCGAAGCTCTGTCTTTGATCGATGGAAGCCTGTCCGGGCCCACGACAGCATCTATCTCGGCCTGTGCCTTCGCCTGAATGTGCGGGTAGCGCAGCATCGCAGAGCAGAACGTGAAGATAGTAGACATGTTCTTTGTACATAATAGTATATCATGCTTAGCAAAAACAAGCCACTTTGAAAACGAAGGGATCATACCGTGTCCAGACCACCACCCAGGCCCGATGACGCACCCCACACTAACGCAGCTTCGTCTTCCTTTGAGAGCTCACCGCCGCCGCTCTCGATGACAGTTGCACACAAGTTGGGCAAGTGGACGTTTCCTGTTTTCTGCAGTGCGAAGTATTATGGCAGGTTACAACACTAGAAACGATAATCACGCACAAGATTTTTCTTCAGCCATAGATACGGAACCCATGATGCATCCCACTCCAACTGCTTCCACTTCTTCGCAATCTGTAGGAACGACGTGCCAGGCATCCACTCGGGCAGGTATTTCACTGTGATCTATGTTTACTGTAAGTCGACCCAAGCAAGCGAATCACTTACGGGCAGGAATGAGGTCGACCATGAACGCACCCGGTTCCGTCGCCTGGCTGAAGTTGTCCATCGCCTCGAACGAAGTATTGATCATCTTGTCCTTCTCGCCCTCCACCTCGTATCCATATGTGACGCGCATGATGATAGCCGCGATCCGTCTATGCCCCATTAGCACACCCTGCTACCGACAGAAGAGAGGATGCTACGCATATACGCATATGCACACGCACACTTTAGTCTGCATCACAAGCGTGCTGGGATCCCGCATGACTCCCTGGACAAGTCTGCGGGCCTCATGCTCCTGGATTGAATAGTATCGCGGCACAAGCGACTGAGTGAATGACTGCACGACGAGCTTGCGTTGTGCACGCCAATCGTCGCCATAGGATAGCAGCACCATTTCTTCGCCATACCCTGACCTATAGTCAAAGGCCTTAGTCGTCTGAGGAAATCGATGGGAAGACGTACGTACAGCTCACATGCCATAACCTGGGCGAGGATGAAAGAATATGTCAGAAATTTTAACAGCTCGATGAATGGGTTGATTCGCGAGGCACGGGCCCTTCCAATTTACTAGAAGATATAAAGACAGGATAGGCTGTACACTTGACCTTTACAGAAGAGGATTACCCTCAAAGCCCCCCACTTGGTTGAAGAATTCCTGATACTGCTAGGACTATGCGTCATCCTAAAATCAACCATACCAGCCTAGTCCACCAGACACGGTGTGGTCTAGACGAGCAGAAGATGAAATGAAAGTAATATAGGAGGCAATGGCACCAATTGTCAGGTTTTGTTTCAACCAAGACATTAGGTCAGATACATATCAAAATACAATGAAACAGAGACCTAGCAATTCAAGAGAAATGAACACAAAAGCCCGTGCCTCACGAGACAGTCGATCATCGAAACATGATGATCGGGCTTACAAAACGCGGTCGGTCTGAGTAGATTGTAGACCGCTTGTCGAGTAGGTCCTTCGCCACCTCAATAGAATTGATCACAACGAGGTGCTCGCCAAATGCGTCGAGATGGACAAGGTCTCCTGCTCGTCAGTCAATCGTCAACAGGGTCGCGATAAACCAAGACATCGCAATCATCCCACCATAAGTTTTTGCCCACTCCGAGTAGGTCAGCCAAGGTCGAACTTGAGGAATCTGCAGAGCGTTGCCTATTATTGGCCAGCCAGATGGGCCAGGTGGATAGGCTTGTCGAGCCCGGAGCGCGAGGGTGTACCTGATAGCGAAAAAGCTAGTGAGAGCCGCGAGAACGGTGACAAGCAAACTCGATTCCAAGACATTGCGGAAGAGCACGACAACGCCGAAGATGGCGCTGGCGGTTACAAAACTATCCGAGTCCATGGTCGCTGGCGGGCGCAGCAGTTGACTGCAGGCTCGAAAGGTGAGCCATGGGATGGTGTTGTTGATGTCCACGTCACGTACACGCGCGAAGCGAAGTTGATGTTCGACAGCTTCCACAAACCTTAACCTACTCGCTGCAGTGACCAACGTGCGTTCATGTATGTCTATAATATTACGCAGAAATTAACGATCTATTCGTTACGGATATAAAACAGTCATGATTTCAGGGTTGTAGCCTGTCACAAATTTTGGGACCCTAATAATACGCCTAACACACGCCAGCCGAGACATTTGACGTTCAAGGTTCAACATTGGTCTTCATAATGGGAAGGAGACGAATCCCACCACATGTGCCATTCCTCAGCTTGATGCTCCGGAGTCCCCGGCAACTTAGACATTGATCGTGGGGAACATTAAGGGTCCAAAACGGCAACGTCCATGACCCTGCACAGTCGAGACTCGCGCGCAAAGAGCGGATCCCACCGGCATGGAGGGAAGGAACCCCTACAACATGCGAGACCCGATGGCGAGACCATGGTGAAAATGCTGCGCAGTTCAATTTTCACAAACAACGCTGCAGCGCGCTGAACTGATCATTAGCAACTGACCTAGTATTGCGAAAGAGATTCATATGGACGGGAACCAGCGATCCCATGTCCCACGATTTCAAGTTCAGACAGCGACTTGTTTCCTTTGTCACAATTTCTAGCTATACGCCACACGGCCCTCAAGAAACTGCAGCAGCCACAACGATCAGCTCAAACTCGAACCTCGTTCCAGCAACAACGGGAGTAGGATATGATGCCGAAAACGAGTGACAATACTGATGCAGGCGACCAGCTGGGCCAGTCGCGGAAGCAGACACGGCAGAGCGTCGTTCAAGATACTAGTCTAGACCGACCAGAACACGACGGTCAGCGCCGTCTTGGACAAGCAAGCTCCCAGCAGCACCATTCGTTTCAGTACTCTTCTCAGCACAGTCTCTCCCAGCAGCAGATTATCTCACAGGTTGCCGTCAAGATAGGGATAAGACAAGAATTCTTGGACAAGCAGAAAAGCCAGATAGCTGCCATTTATATCAGCACGAAGGAGGACGAGTGTCGTCTCGCCGACATGGAGCGAAACTACACGGCCGCAAATCACATCGATATCCAAGTTCAGCTGGAAATGCATACAACACGGGATGAAATCGCAATAAAGAGAGACCTGCTGTCACGGATGATCAACGGGCTGAGGACCTTTTTAGACGAAACCAAGGATCTTTCGCTCGCGATGCCGTAGAACAATCTCGGGAACCCGTGAGTACGACATCGAGTGTGCGGCGATACATACTCATGACCATTTACGCAGCGATGACCGGTCGGGAGGAACGCCTGGCATACAACAGACTAGATTGGTCGACCAGAACGGCTTCCAGCAGCGATGTCAAGGCCTATTCCAAGGGCCTTCGTCTCAGTCTGTCGCAGAAAGTTGGCGTAAATACAGAGCTTGTCGAATCAGGCAGCCATGGTACAACAATATACAACGATCAATCCCCTTTCGGCAGAGAACCTCACGAGACCATACAGGACGTTTGCGCATAAGCACAGCATCCAATTGGACAAGCATATGATGCAATTTGAGAGCCGTGAATTACCCCTGCACTGTCTGCATGCTGCAGTGATGCCCCTCGGTGGCGATTGCGCTGTAAGCTTGACATGGAGGGACTGAGCTTGAGTGATTACTGTCTGAACAGGGTGACCGAACGCCGCCTCTGGCCCGTCGTTAGCAGCAGACAGGCTTCGTACAATTCCCCGGAAACGAATCCGAGCCAGTGCAGTCAGGCCACAGCGTTGCGCTCCATCTACAATAGATAGGCAATCAATATCTTCAAGCGTTCGAATTGTTATGTGATCAGTACCATATAGGGTGACTAAGTGAGATATCCGAGCGCTAAACAGGGCGACTTACAACAATGTGATGATTCACCCGGCGCGCTGTCGTTGTCGCTGTCGTGACAGGGAAACTCTGACAAAAGGATGAAAACTAGAAGATGTAAATTGCATCCCCGGAGTACCAAGTTGAGTGCTGAGAATGTGCAAGGAAACAGGCATGCGGTACAACAATCCGGTACACCCCGATTACGGTCAAACCACGGGTCCAGAGCAGCCCGGCCAATACTGCTGCCACGGTCGTCAGAATAGTGCCATCAGTGATTGGAAGATTTAGCAAAGTGGTTGGTGAGCAAGGAACCAGACACCTAGAGATCAAGAGGCACAAGTCGGCGGAGGAAGATGTCTGATTCGGGTTTTACCGATACCCAGCTTGTGTATTTTTGCAACCAGTAAGTGACTTGAGGCACACGCGGACAGAAAACGGCTGTTGGGTCCCCCCGAGCAGTCAGTTTGTCAGAATCACAGATACACCTCTGCATCTCGGATTTTTTGGTCGTCATAGCCTTCGGATAGTTTTTCACCGTCATAGTGGGCATGAACCAACTGACCTTCGAACGAGACGCCCTAAGTTACATCCGCCGCAAAGCCAGGATGCATGGACGCTTAAAGTTGCTTCCATGGATACCTTACGCTAGACGAGATTGCGTATTAGATATTCTCTATGATAGAGCTTACAGAACATAGTAAATTCAAAGGAAACGTGAGTTATTTCTCTTCGTCATTTGTTCGATGATTTACCGCAACGGTAAGATAAACTTTTTCACACTTCACAATAAAAAATATGAGCCCACCTGTCCATCAGCACAGCAACTGATTTGCCGCAATGATCTATACCTCCGGCCGGATACTGCGCAAGTCGCACCGGGCAATAATGAAACAGGGTACACCTTCAGCTGATCGCCCTATATTAGTTATTATAACAGCCAGCGAGCTTAGCATCGTCGACATCTCTTGAAATGGTTGTTCGACACACGATCTGAAAGAAGGCATGAACTCGGAGTCAAACCTGATCAGGCCTTATTTGTTGTTGTAGGCAGCAGCAGCAGACGTTCTTGCAAACTGCATCTTGTAAGTCCGTATTCCACACTTACGCGAAAATAAAAATTATGAGCGGTCCGTTGTGACTGATTGTGGTTGTAGAATGTTCAGCAGAACGACATCGCAGCCTTATCAACTCGTATAGACAGTCCATGAAGGGTCTGATGATGTCTTGATCAACTGCTCACCACAGAGTGCTTGTTCTGACAGTACGTGGTGGTCGCGGTCAATCTGCTAGATACGCCACAATGGTTGCGGTCCCAGGCGTGCTGGCACTAGCGTGTCTGGGATCACAATCGGACTGTGCGATAACATAGAGAAATAGCGCGTACCTAGGCACCAGCAAACCGGTAGAGAGGACAAAGCAATGCGGAGCGCTGAAAATGCATGTCCGAAAGCGCGGGGAATCGGCACGTACGAGGCGAATTTCGGACTATCTATCCACGCCTGTCGTTGCTTCTGAGCGACTTCCTCGGATCCTGACAAAGATTGGGTTATGCAGCAATTAGACTGGCGTAGAGCAGATGAGGCTGAGCGACATGCGCATGTGCGATAAGGAGAAAGGAGCAGCCAAGTCTAGAGGGGTTTATTTGGTCATGGTTATTCCTTTACCGCCGGGCCGGGCCTAGCTGGCATCTCGCAGGCATTTTGGTCTACTTCAGTTTTCTCAGATTATCAAGTGTAGTTACTACTCGGGTCTAGTATCCTGCATGAACACTCAAAGTTGGAACCCAAAATCCACACTATATTGAATGCAAACACGATCTCCATGGTTGGACCGAGAAAGTAATGGCGTTATCCATGGCCCCGAATCTATATGGACGTGAAGTTAGGAATGCCTCGTCGGCGGTAAGTTGTGTCAACATCCTGTCCGACGACCTTCCATCAACGGATTGTGAGCAACGAGCGGGCGCAGGGAGCGCGGAATCAACAGATGACCGGGTCTCACCATTCTTCGTCGCTCATTCCACGGCACTGCTTAGGGCAGCGCCAGAGGCGCCAGCGCACTTCGTCGGAGCGCAAGAATCAGAGACTTGGAAGTTGGGGAAGCAAAGTATGTCAACGCGCTTGCCATTGTTAGATCTTAACACTTATCTTTGTGTACGTAGCTGGAGGAGCCAGCGCCAGGAAGACAATACCATGCGGACTGTTCTGTAGACTCGAGTATTCAGGCTCGTCAGCGTGGCGTTTGCATGGGAGACACCGCAGAGAAGCCGACAATGCTCCCGCGGTCGCAGGTGAAGAAGTCCCAAGATTTGCGTACATTTAGCCACTTGTGCTTTCTTCCTACCATCGATCGTCCGCTCTGAGAGCAGTATGAGTATCGGAAGTGTAGGCAGTCATAGCATGCTGGGCACGTACGATCCTCCCTTGTTCTATCTGCACGAACAATTGACCCATGTGCATACAGGCAAGGGTCTCTCTGCGTTGATCCTAGGAGGAACTGGTGCGGCAGGTAGCCTCGTATTGCAAGAAATCCTTGCCTCGCCACATTTCGCTCGCGTCAGTGAATACGGACGAAGAATCACTGCTGCTGAGAAGATCGTTGTTGGGAAGGAGAAGTTGGAGCAAAAGGTCATGAATTACGAGGACCTGGAAAGCAGCGGGTTACGAGATGGGAAATGGGATGTGATCTTCATTGCGTGCGTCACACACATCTTCCTAATCCTACCTCTTTATTGGACAGTCATTTTCTTTGCCTGGATAGCCTCGGAACTAGCAGCATTACCGCGAAAAACCGCGACGAGTTCACTAGAGTCGACAAGGAGTTAGTGCTTGGATGTAATCGATGTGGAAATTTCTCTCTGACGCACTGCTAGATACGTTGTCAACGCAGCTCGTGAGGCCAAATCATCAGATCCTGAACATCGACAACGCTTGCTCTACATCTCCGTGTGTGCCTTGAAATTTCTCGGATTGTCAATGAAGATCGTTCTAACACCTAGCGCACATACGTATAGGCAATTTATGCGAACCCATCATCTTATTTGTTCTACTTCAGGTGTGGAGGCCCTCTGTTCAGTCGATTGATCCAAAACTTACTATGCACTCTGGGTACCAAGGAGCAAAGGTTTGACAGAACGCGCTCTTGCTCAGCTGGGTTATGATGACTTCATTGCCATCCGACCTGCCTCGTTTGGTGGAGTACATCGAGAAGTGAAAAGGCCGGCAGAGGAATTCCTCAGGTGCGCCTTCAATCATGCATTTAGTTTTTCGCCAATGATCAACAATTCGCCTGCCTACCGCTAGCACGTTCTTTCGCGGACTCACCTTCCTCACTGGCAGTGTGAACCTCCACATCCACGTAAGTCGTCGGCAACTTCCATTTGTTTAACGGATGCTGACAGATGTGAACCTTTATTGTAGCTGTCAAGACTTGCCATGGGCATACGAATGGTTGGGGAGATGGGCTCAAGCGAACTTCCATCTGGGCTAGCGACATCCGTGGTCTCACCTGAGGGGACGTATACTGCGCTGATCAATGGAAGCATATTAGCTTTGACGGATAGTAATGAAGCACGATGAGGCGACTGGTATGAGTGTGATTGACAGACAATTTGTGGTCCGCTGATCTGGCACAGCTCCAGACGGGTTCTCAACCTCTTACGCGGAACAATCATATTATCTCCACCCTTCATCTTCTTGTAGTGGTGGAATCAGACCCAACTTCTTAGTAGCAGCGTGGACTGTACAGGAAAAATATGTCATTACGATAGCAGAATTACATTTCGTGGAGATACACCCGGGAATGACAAGTTGTGTATTCAGATAACACAATAACGTAGACCTAGTATCTCGACATCTCAACTATGGGCACCATGTTTCCAAGACAGGTCGCTACTCGTACACTGCGCTTGAAGTGAATGAAGGTGAGAGGCTAGATACGTGAAATCGCCAGTAGTAAATTAAAGTACAGGAGTCTGTCCAATATACACTCGCAGGTATGGGTTCGCTACACCACTGAGTCTTTCTCCCGTATAACATCGCGTGTTATCGAGATCCCGCCAGTATTTTTGGTCATGACAGAATCCACAGCAGTGGAAGCGTTAGTAACGGTGGCGAACCGCATGCTTCCCATATGCTTGAGCTGAATTGCGGTTGTGCTAGGGTTCGTTGTCAGCTCAGTGGCGCTACTCTGTGACCACGCCTTGCCAGTGGCCACCCGATAGATGATAAGCAGGGACGAGACGATCTGCGTATAGTAAGGTGAGTCAGAGATGGAATAGACCTGAGTGCTCTACAAAATGATCCGGCTGGAAGTAGACGACATACCTGTACTTGGCTGACGCTGTCCAGGAATACATTTGCGAGCGAGTTGCCCAGCCCAAAGGGCACGATGAAGAGCACGGCAAATATCGAGTAAAGGGATGCAGACTCAATGAGGATGGCAGAGATATTCAAGTAGTCCGACGACTCCTTCGTACCGAAGACGCGTGCCATGCGCCGTCGATAGATAAGCAGACGACCGACGATTAGCAGGGTAACGATGACGTTGAGGGAGAGCGACATCACGTAGTACGCAAGTGTGATGTTTACGAATGCGAAAGGAGATGATCCGGTCATGTCAATAAGGAGGGCAAGCCCGAGAGCTATCAGTAAAAGATGTCAGGCTATTGCAGAATCAAGCTATGAAGTGATGAACATACCAACCGATGCAAGTAACATCAAGACGGGAAAGAAGGTCAGTGCAGCCAGCCAGCCCTGTCCAAAATCTCTGAAGATGACCATGAATCGCCAGACCTAGGACAAGTAATCAGCCCGGTGACATATCCACACGAACCACCAGCAACGCACGAGAAAAGCATCCAATAACCAGTTTCCAACAACAAAACACACGTTCGCGATCTCATCAACGGGATTAGCGAACTCTGCTTCTTCATACACACTGGGGCCTCCAGGGTAATTTCGGTATTCGATAAACGCCTGCTGCGTAAATTTTGCCTGGCTCCCCATAAATAACGTTCCGATGGTGAAGATAACGCAAATAAAGCTGAGGAGGAAGAGCTGTCGCCGAAAGTTGTGCCGATCCATTTTGCGGACGAGGGTCACAAAGCACATGACAAACAGCGTGAGCTGCATCCCATACGCGATGTTAGAGAGGAGTGCGCCTTGTAGCCATGTCTCCTCCGCGAAAATGACCGACGCAGTCTCGTTGGGCGCCCAGGACGAGTTTGACATATCCTAGCGGAAGCACGGTTAGCATAGTTGCATGGGTGCTATCGGAGGTCAGGGCGTAAGAGGGAGGACACATACCGGAGGAGCTGCTCAGCGGATGGATTCCGATTGCAGGGTGAGGAGGGGTTAGCCAAGCTCGCATGGGGAATGTCCGCTTATATGACTTAGGTAACTGGAGGGCTTCAGCGCCCGGGATGAAAGGAGCAATGCACCATGCCATCAAAGACGCGCACACGTGAGGGGCTATGCGAGAGGATCGGGGATGTGAGGATTCTGGCGATATTGGTCCCATGCAAATGATCGCTCAATGCAGTCACGGAATGCCAGCTCGGCGAAGAGACCGGCCATCTTTGCAAGAGCGGTAAGCAATTCAAAGCGGCACGGAGTGTGCTCTTTGTGCGCCGCTACGCAAGGCAAGATGCGGGTGGTGTTGCGGGCCTAATACGACGTACTACAGTTGAGTTATAGCAAATGGCCCGAATCCCAA